CAAGCTGATCGATGCGAACATCGCCGACATATGTTGTATAAGTTATTTCGGTTTTATCTTCCGTACCATAATGTTTTCCATGGTGATAAAACGTTTGTGATGTTTTCGATTTGAGTGGAATTATAATGTCTTCTTCTTAATTAAATTGCGCTAGGATGAACAGGCCTTACCCAGGAAAGAAAGGGCAAGGCTGCAAATTTTAGGTAAAGGGGATTACCTCTGCTTGTCACACTATTATGTTTCCGTAGATATCCGTATCGCTTTTTATAGAATACTATGAAGAGCACACCGATGGCATGCGCCAGCTATTAAGCATGATAATCCTTGAAATATGGCGTGCGGGTTGTCTATGAGGGAGCTACCAACCATTCTTCAATGTCGTCCTTGAGAATTCAATATAATTATCAAGCATAATGATGTCGTTGCTACATTTATCCTGTTTCGCTATAAGAGTCCAAATAAGACTGTTTTGTGCAATGTTCTGCGCAGGTTAAATACTTCAACGGCTCCATATTGCGTACAAGAATGCCTTAGACTCTCACGCGAACTAAAGCAGTATCGAGACGTAAGACAAACGGTGGTTTGTGTTTAAGGCTATTTGGAGTTCATACTGGCATATTACATTTCAAAAGTTGGTAAATATTTGACAAACATATTATTGAAGAATATTATGACATCCAGAACGTTTCGATAATCCACTGATTGGGGTAACGCTTCAAGGGTCAAATACAGCTCTAGTATTTACCAACCTTTGTACATCATGAAAGATTGGTTCGCTGGGGGGAATGGATGTTTGCGTTTTATAAAAATAATGTTTAGAAATACATGAATGTACAACGTCTGAGGACGACGTAGACAACTTACAGAAATGTTTGAAAATAAGTTAAAAAAAACTTCGTAAAAAGGGCTTGCTAGTAAATTACATGGACGGTGGCTTTTCGTAGGATTTTGTTGTGCACGTCTTCTGCTCGCAAAAAAATATTCTAATGGACCACGTTCTATGTTGATTAGTGTCGTATATATGCCTAATAAGCTTCATTATCGTAATCACAGCATAAAGTGCAATTTTGTGTCAGTCATTTCCGATGTCCGTCTCATTGCAGGATATTTGACATTTAAGCCTGCATATATACATAATCGATGCTTCGGTGAATAAAAATGTTGAGACGTAGTAAGAGACTTGAATTAATTTTCGATTCCGATGACAGAAGTAATTTATTCTCATTATTTTTCTCGAATTGGCATATCCCTCCCCCAATAAGTACTTGATCAGTCTTCTGCCTAGATCGAGTGTATAATGCATGACGTTAGAGGAAGTAGATTTGCCTCTCTAAATTAGAGCGGCGCAGACACCAACTTTGGTGAGAAAACGGCAGCAGTGTGTCCGCCCAGTTTGAGAAAAAATAACACCTGCGTCTCATGCGGTAGTTAACATTGGTGTCTGTTATCACGCAAGCGCAGGGGCCGGCTCAGCTTCATTCAAGGGTACGGCTGAAGATTATATACTCACTGGCAGTGCGCCTTCTAAACGCCAAATGGACTGCAGGCCGAAGCGTCCAGCTCGCTAAAGAGACGGCACAGGCCTGTGCTGTTGTTATCGTAAGCAAGGGCTTCACATCGCCAACAGCGCCAGCGGCGGCAGTAATGGTGGCTGAAGCGTTCGCGGCAAACCACTGGGCGATGGCAAAGATAATGTGAGAGGGAGAACGCAGCGTGAATAACAGATCATTTCAAGATAGAGGGTCAATAACACCGTGAGTTTAGGAGGAGTTGCAGAAGGGAGGGGCGGGGTGGAGGCCATCAGGCGGACAGTCATGCAGGCATGCGAATGGCCGGTCTCGGAGTTTATTAATAATTCAGCAGCAGCAGGCGTGGATCGATGTTAAGGTCAAATACCTGATTCGTCTTCTCAGGCTTAGTTTGCCATTAAGGCTTACTCCCCAAAAGCATATGCACGCCAGGCACGCAGACACTAGCCATATATTTTGTTCTAACCAGAGTCCATCGTTTGTAACCGCGTTTGTACATAGAAATGCTTCAAAAAACGAAAGATTCTCTTGTATTTTCCAGCTGCCAACTGGGGCCCTTTGGTGTAAGAACGTGCCAGCATTCATGCAATTGGCGCGATTAAAAAGGTAATGGGGCACGCTACGTGGGCTTAAACTTAAACCGGATGAATGGACGCACCTGATTCCACAGGCGGTTTCCGCACGGATATTGGTTTTCGGTAGTCGGACGTGATTACACACAGCGTTCATTATTGGCATTTTCGGCGTGAGACTTCCCACGAAATTGTCTGCTATTGTACTGCCCCACAATTTGTGACTGAAAAAGCGTTATTTGTTTACTGCAGGGGTTTTTGCTGACACACATTTGGGTTGTATTCTTCTGTCGCACTGTCGGCAGTTCACGCTCTCCTTTTTAATGGCCGGCTACTTTAAGACGTTTAGTTAAAAGAGTAAATTGAGCTGCTGCGATACCCTAAATATATAAAGATGTGAAAAATAGAAGACGTTCTTCGGAAAAGTCAAGTTGTACTCGTGAATTTTCGAGCTGGTGACACCAACCCGTCGTCAGACCAAATGAAAACATGGGAGAAAGTTGGGTTGTCACAGTAGACCAGTTGGTGATAGGACAGAAAGACCACTAACGTGTGAGGGGGGGCTGTCGAGGTCATGGTAGGTCCCTGAATGAGGAGGGGGGAGGGAGAGAAGGCGGAAAAACTACGGCGCATTGTGCTGGAGGGGGAGGGTGGGCGGTGAATCAGTTGGAATGCGGGCGGCTGTATTCACGGTCGTTGATGCGTAATTAGGGCAGGGGCAGTCAGTCGTGAACGTAGACCCTCGTAATGGGCATATAAGTCAACATGACGGTTGTTACTACCCGCATTGAAGTACCAGGCCTCGAGGAATTCCCTCGCTCGCTTTACGTTAGCCATGGCGATGACCTCAGTGCTATCCCAATTAAATCGGTGGTTGTACTCGACTGCATGGGCAAAGACGAGGGATATGGGGTCTCGCCGACTGATGGCTAATTTGTCTTCATTGATACGGGTGCCCAGACGTCGATCCGTATGGCTAACATACACGCAAGAGCAATTAGCATACGGGATGCGATAGATTACATTCGTTTGTTGCTCTTTGGAGATGGGATCCTTCATTCGCGACAGTGCTGCGCGTAGTGAAGATGCCGGTTTGTGGGCAACGGGAATACCCAAACGGTTGAACTGTCGGGCAATTATTTCAGAAGTTCCACGCATATATGGCAAGGAGTAGAACTTTCGTGTCAAAATCTCTCCGTTGGGGGTGGGATCTTGCGACTGTGTCAGGTCCCTGAGGCAGTTCTTTACAAAACTGAGTGGATATCCGTTAGAGCGGAATAACCGATACAGGTGAGCAAGCTCTTTGTTCAGGAGATCGTTGCTGTTGCAATAACGGTAGGGCCGGTGAAACAGGGTTCGGACGCAGTTTCTTTTGTGAGCTGCAATGTGATTACTTCCATAGTTGAGGATAATCTCAGAATTAGAGCCTTTCCTATGGGCGCTTGTTGCTAGGCTACCATCGCTCAACTTCTGTATCCTCACGTCCAGAAAGGGCAAGCTGTCTTCAACTGTCTCTTCGCGGGTAAACTGTATGACTGGGAAGACGTCATTCAGTCTCTGCTGAAGCCGTTTGACTTCGCACTTCTTTTTTATGACAAAGGTGTCATCAACGTAGCGAAGCCATAGTTTTGGTTTGATAGTTTGGAAAACTACCTCTTCTAGTCGCTGCAACACTAGTTCGGCGAGCAGTCCTGATATGGGTGAGCTCATCGGCGTTCCCTGTACTTGTAAGTAGTACTTACTATCGAAATGACAATAGTTCCTAAGGCAAAGATTTAGCAGTTCGATAACATGTTCCGTTGGGATCTCAATATGATTGTTCTGTAGGCGTTGGGCTAAGCATTCAATTGCCAAATCGTGTTGTATGGAAGAAAACAAGGCAACGACGTCAAAGGACAGGAAACATTCATCAGTACTTACTTTAAGGCCTTGTATCCTGCGGAGGAGTGTTTGAGAGTTGTTAATGCTGTAGTCTGATCCATGAGTGAGCCATTTCAAATGATTGTATAACCACTAAGCTATATTGTAAGTGGATGATCCGATGAGTGGCACCATAATCCTCAGCGGGACATCCATCTTGTGCACTTTTGGGAGACCATACGCGTGTGCGATATGGGGATCACTAAGGGTCATCAACTTGGAGTCATCTGGACTGATAACTTTCAGGCGAGCGAGCTCAGTAACCTTCTTCTTGATGGCTGCGACTTGCTTTTTCGTCATTTTTGTCAAAATGCTATCACATCGGGAAGTCGCGTGCTACAGCGCAACCAGGAAAAGAATATTTGTGTCTTTTCTTTTAGTGACAGTCTTTCAAGCCGACTGCAAATTTTATTCAAAGCGCTATCTGAACAACTAATTAATCAATATTAGATGATAACTAATCGTCTCATAGAGACGTATAGGTAACTGCCCAGGAGTGAGTAATAAGAAAATATATTCGGGATTTAGCTAGAAAAATAAACAACATGCAAATGCATCTTTACTTCATGTTAGTATCTACCATTCGTCACATTTTTACAGTTAAATAGACTTTCCGAACTAATGATCTTTGCCCGACTGAATGGCTGCCTTAAGAAATGAAGACAAAATTATTTATTTTATAAATGCATTTCTGAACTTCCTTAGAGTCTATATAAACACCACCTATAACACACAAGCGTCTGTAGGAATTTACAATACGTTATCATGCAAACGTGCGACAGCTATCCAAGCTTACATTCTTATCTTCAGATAACATGTGTCCGCTGTAAGCACAATCCAGCATTTATATGAAATAGGGGTAAGATGTGGTTTGGTAGCACCACCTGATGGACAATACTGTTGCGGTTGGGGTTAAGGGTTAGGAGTTGTGATTAGGGACTTTGGTTAGGGGTTAAGGGTTATGGTTAAGAGTTAGGGTTAAATGTTGGGTTAGGGGTTATAGTTAGGCTTAGGGGTTAGCGCAACTATTTCTCAACCATTTAAAGTACAACCGTCCATTCCACATAGCTTTTTCGTATACGACTACTTGGCCTCGTCAGCTGCGCGTTCCCCGGCTCCACATATAAAATACCCTATTGCCACCGGTATCGTATAAGAGGTGCTTGGGGTTTGTTTATTTCAGGTGGGAAAACATAACCACATAAGACTGAAGTAGGAAAGAATGGCTGTCCGAAAATATCTGGGTTTAAGGCATGGTCACAAAGACGGGTCGAGCAACGACGAGAAAGGAATTAAGGTATGAAGATGCGGTCTCGGAAACATGGTATTTTTTACGAAATTGATTTACGTGCAGTTAGTCAAACACTATACCCCAAACAGCGTGATGATATATGGTATGGCTGCATGGAGTTACGTTCCGGTACAACGTGACTTAAATTTGTGTGCAGCTGGTAAGTTAACAGATTATGGTAAATCGCGCGGCCAAAATAGATATTGTCGCCTGACGGAGTCAAGCACCGAGCCGTGCATTTCCCGACAGCTGCTCCGTCGCTGAGCTACAGCCAATGGACACCCCGACTGTATGGCTAATCATTGTTCATTCATGTTCGTTTAACAAAGTGGGTTGACCTAGAATGAACTAGATTACTGCTGGATTTGCACGGGGAAACTCTTGCACGCAGGAAATATATACTTTGACTTAAATAATTTCGATTTTTTAAATTGCCGACGCTTAAATGAAAGACGAAATATTTTACCAAGTCTTACATATAACACATCCTCGCCAGGTTCGACCTGGTAGGTGATTTTCTGCTTGTAACCCATGTTGCTCGTTCAGGGTTTGTCTGCTTCGAGAGGCTAGTAGACAAGTTTGTGTGCTCCTAAAACGGAGGTCGGACGATAGATGCACTGAGTCAACCGTGGGCTACATCGGATTCTGGCAGGTGTTATCGACAATGCATACTCACAACAAATGCCAACGTTCGGTTGTGCAGTGGAAGATGTTTGTTGCGGACAAGAGAATGTGGTGGTATGCCTAGTTGCCGGTTTGCATCCTGTCAGCTACCTGCGCCCTCTCTCACCTGCGGTCTTGTTGACACTGTTTTGACGCTGCGCTCAGGTGGGGGAGGTGGGAGTGCGGTAGATGCTGTACAAGTCTACTTTTACATTAAACTAGCTTGCAGGCAGGTCGCCGTTCCTGTTGTCATCTTGCTGTTGGGCACACGATTGACATTGCCTCAACCAACAGTCGAACTGTTGGAGTTTGAAGCTGATTAATTACATATTTGATGGAGTTTTTAGCGATGTGTTCTTTACCAAATGCGGACATACACTGCGTGATCTATCTCATGAAATGTTGGACGAAATTCTGAAATGCGTTTTCGATTAGGAAGGATTACTTGGACGCGGTTGTGATAGTGATTATCTGAAGGCATACTCTTATAACATTTTAGACTCGGCAAGATGTCGGCATTTAAATGCATTTCTTTTCAATTTCCTGTAAAAAGTCTGCTTGGTAAAAAATGAATACTTAATTAGCATCCTTTTTTTCCATTGATTTTTGATGGTCTTGGAAATTCAAATATATTTTATAGAAACCACAAACAAAAATAGGCTTTCTTTTAGTCACTCAATAGAGAATCACGTCTTCTTTATATTTTATACTTAAGAAAGGAGCATAATTAGGTTTTAAAAAAGTTTCTAATTATGAGACTTTTTAAGTCCGCGATATGTCCACTAACATAGCATCGTACCTGGCCGTTCACCGCTGCTCCTCATGAAATTTACAACATGGTCCACATCCATCACAGAATTTTATGGACTCTGTATGATATCTTTATAATGACATAGAGAAATATGGGATTTTCTTTGCGCGGAACGCATGCACCTTGTAGAGTCTAATCACTAAAAGATAATGCAACGAATGATCAGGCTCCAAATTTTTCGGCAATTAGAAAACTTTTTTAAAACCTAATTATACTCCTTCCTTAAGTATAAAATATAAAGAAGACGTGATTCTCTATTGAGTGACTAAAAGAAAGCCTATTTTTGTTTGTGGTTTCTATAAAATATATTTGAATTTCCAAGACCATCGAAAATCAATGGGAAAAATGCATGCTATTTAAGTGATCATTTTTACCAAGCACGCTTTCAACAGGAGATTGAAAAGAAGTGCATTTAAAAGCCGACATTCGGCAGAGTCCAAAATGTTATAAGATTACGCCTCAAGATAATCAGTATCACAACCGCGACCAAGTAATCCTTCCTAATCGAAAATGCATTTCAGAATTTCAGACAACATTTTAATGAGATAGATCACGCACTGTATGTAATTAATAAGGAATTTTTAATTTTGCAAAGGCGTGCAGGTCACCGTTCCTGTTGCCATCTTGAAGTTGGGCACACGGTAGGGATCGCCTGAACCAATAGTCTAACTTTGGGGGTTAAATGGCCATTGCGCATTAATCTGATGGAGTTTTTAGCTGTGTTCTTTACCAAACGCGGAAATATGTAATTCATAACGCCTATACTTGATTAGCACTTTTAATTTTGCAAAGGCGGCTGAAAAGATAACGCCATCAGAATACCTTCTGAATCCAACATCTTATTACTGTAATTGAAACTATTATATGATTTCACTGACATATTTTCTTCATCCGCGTTTGCCATTTTTCCAAAAATGCGCGTCTTAAAATAAAATAAGTATGAAGGAAATGCAAACAGATTCGCCAGCTAGAATCATGTAGATAGTAAAATGAAAAATTCTATCGCCACTGATACGACCTGATTGCGTAGGAGAAGGCGCGTCCCGATCACATGATAGTCGCGTGGCGACGCGCAAGCTAGTGATCGATATATTTTTTGCTCAAAGAAAAAGTGCGTCTTGGACAAATAGCTCTCGCTTCCTTTCTGCTCTGCGATTTTTTAATAAGGACCAGTTGGAAATCAAGCATTTGCATCAACCACTCCACCTGATAAATGAGGAACTAATGTCCGATCAGTTGCATTCTGGAATACCCTAAACTATTCGAACGTGCCATTGCTGATATATTCTATTTGGGAGGCAATTCCGCTCAAAGTGAGGAAACTTCAGACGAGGACGAATAAAAATCAAATATAATTCAGCTAGACGCATTCGCAAATCTACAACATTTGAGTCAGTATGCAAAACCCCTTTTGGAGTGCTTGTGCCCGTTATTTTGGTACACAGTTAGAGAGTGCCAATAAATATTTTACCTGTTTACATGGACATGCGACGCAGTGGAGCTTGATCAAGATATAAAATGGGTAACGTTCCTCCTAAAAAGGCCTGTATGAAAGAAGATGTATTAATTCATCTGACCAATAGCAACATGCTGGTTCTTAAACGAATCTGCAAAAGGAATACCCCAATTATTACCCAGACGACTAGGAAAAATAATTTTCTCGGAAACACGAAAATGCGAAAAACGTGAATATTTGTGCAAAATGAGTAGAAAAAATTTTCAATAGTAAAGAAAAATTTAAATGAAAATTATTGGGCACGTAATACAGTTCAGCAACAATGATCTTGGAAAAAATCCGCATTTTGCATTCATTTTTAATACGCAGATTTATGTGAGATGTGACATAAGGCCAAGTTTGGCCGTGTGTTTTAGGATATAGTTACAAAATTCGACGCAGTCTTTCTATTTTTATAAGGTTATAGCTAAATCTGGGTAAAGCAAAGGAGTCAGCTTGATTGTCTTGATAAGAATCACAAAAACAAAGGGTTTCTTAAGGTCATATACTGACAAGTAGGTCATTGCCTGACAAGTTCAAAACAAATTGACAGATGCTATCGCAATAACCGTTTCCTGCTTATACAAAGGACATATTGCGTCAACACAGCAATTGCTTTTGGAAGTGGTAAGGTCTGTTTAGTTTTGTTATCCTTAAGATATGACTGAATGCCGTTTGGCATTCGGTGTTCTAAATCAACTGCATAAAATGATAGAGTATGTGCATGTCTTTATCAAAATCATCAGATGAAGGTATTTCCGAAAGCATTTGAAGAAGACCTAAGTTACAGGGCTGCAATTAGCGATTCGTACGAACTTCTAACTGCATTATCAAAACCAAGTTAACTTCTATACTAAAACTTAACCTTTGTCATCTAGATAACTTTTCACAAAGCACTTAGATGCGGTATTTCGCTGACGGAGCTTTACGCACTTTTCCTTCTAAGACAAAGTCAATAAATAATTGATTACTTTTGGCTGACTTCTTGACTTTTTTGAAGAACACTAACGACGATTTAGTTACAGACAACAAAGCACACGCTCCTCTTAAATATGGAGCCGTTGTCGTTTTATGCTTACTTTCACGCCCCGCCCTAAGAATATCAATGCTCAAAAAATGACGACATTAAAAAGCATCTTACTATGTGTTAAAAAGTCAAAGTGCCATTTATTGATAAGCTCTTTCAGGGTTACATAGGAGCTTTCTGCGTATGGCAGAATAATGTCGGCAAGTTCAAAGAAATCCTTGTCTGTGGGCCTTATTATTGCATTTCGGTTATCAAATCGGCAGATTTTAAATCAGGACTTTAAAAGACAACAAAAGCCCTGTTTATTAAAAACGAACCTTTTCTTTCCATTCCGTTTTGCTTAATATTTTCGAAGGAAAAATCAGATTTGAAGTGCAGCTTGTTTTGTTAGATAAAAGTCTTTGGTGTGAAATGATCTTCTAGACGTATAGACAAACTGCGCAAATGCGTAGACGTCCTTAAACGATTGTGTGGATTTTTAGATATGAAGTATCATAAATAAGATCACATATCCACTGGGCGTTTGGAAACTCAATAAAAAACTCAGCAGCTACCGTGTGAACGGCAGGTGGTATATCATTAAAAAATTACGCCGAATTCAAATGTTTTGCGCTATTACAAGTCAAGCAACTAGAAGGTTTCAGAAAAGCAGGACGTAAAAACGTCAGGAACATGTACTGCTTAAGGATCGTGAAGCCAGAATGAGCTTTTTGCAGGATACGTGCTGCATTCACTAATTTCTTTGAAGAGCAAACTCTAATTCTTTACGTAATTTAGTGTCCTCCGGCAAATTATTTTCTCAGTTAAGAATGCAAAATGATGGAAAATTCTGCGAAACAGTTTTTGGACAAAAACAATGCGTAAACAGCAAACACATCACTGTTGGACAGTTAGATTTGGTTACTATTAGGTAATGAGCTATTTCAATTCATATTTATTCGAGTTGTGAAAATTTCCAGGGCAATCTTCAGAAAAAGATGTTGCGAGCAAACGCTACTTTTAATAACGTTTCTTCAGTCCGGTACAGTTATATGGAAAAAGTTACAGTGGTCGCAAATTCGATAAAAGTTTGTTTTAAAAACACAGATTAGTCAAGAGCGGAGGGGCGCCGAAAGTTGTTTGTGGTTAACATTTGGTCATTGTGAATATATAACTATATTTGATTTTGCTACAATGTTATAAAATTTCCTAAAAAAACTAATAATAAACCTTGTACTTTGTATACTTCTTGCCGGTACAAAAAGCGTATATTTATAAACAACAGACCTTTTAAATAAACCCTTATATGCCAGAAGTGTCTAAGCACATGATCAGTTGATATTTTGAGCAACATTATGATAATTTAAAGATGTGTTTTTCAAATGCAGCATAAATATAAGGGTAACAAAATAAGAATATAATGTGGTGAGGCACACATGCACCAACTACTCACTTAAACTCAACTAAATCTGCTGGACTTCTGACTAACAGGTCGCGAGATCGATCCTGGGGTGTTCCACAATTCGGGGTTGTGTATGACTGGCAACCAGTCACCCTTGTCTTTGACGGTAATAGCATTCCGTCTATATCGTGCACCCCGGTACAGGTGCTGGTTAGGCCCTAGAGAGCCCGTAAGACGCAACGGAGCGAGTGAGTTCCGTAAGAACGATCGGTGAGCACCCGTCTATCATAAAATACTACTTAGGTCCCGGCATTCAACAGCAGTTCTTCAATCAATAAAAATATTTTTCAAGGATGGGTTTTCTTTCTAATGTTTTTATGCTTATGGGTATATGAAAACGTTCCGTTCACGTCAGCTTTCTTGCAAAATATAGTCAGAATTGAAGTGCGGAATTGCATTATTATTTTGGAGAACTTCAGTGCATCACAGTTATAAATACGACAAAAATCTAAACGAAAACGCGTCATACTGTCTGCACTCATAATTTTTAGATAAAAATTTAAGGGTTATCCACAACATGCTCTGTTATTTGCACCACGATTGAAATCTTTGCGTTTTCTTACAGGTATCCAATATTAGGCAAATTCTCATTGGCAGACACCGCGTGAGCCCAACAACCACTCTCCCCGGTCAACCAATACGCGTCTAGTACACCTGCGAGTTTTGCTATCGCTCTGGGTACTTATACATTAACAGGCGATTGGTAAAGACAACGATAATTTTGGTGCCCCAAAACTGACGAATGATTTTAAAATTGTTAGGCTCCGTCATGAAAATGATTAAGACTTTGCTTTAAAACATCCCTTTTCATGTCCAAGACTTTTCAGCAAGGCTTGTTGCATAATATGCAAAGGGCAAGTTTGTGCAAGGGACATGTAAGGAAACTTTGATCGGACTATTTCTAGTTCACTCACATACTACTTTCCGACACTCCTATCTCGTAAGTAATAGTGGAACACATCAATTGCGGTACTCGAAACAAAAGAAAACACTTGCGTAAGCGTGCGATATCTGATACTCAGTGACAGGCTGACGGTATTTGCCATATTTGCACCTTTTCAATAAACAGAAAAGAAACATGCATGTCGTCATACAGTACGCGACCTGCGGGCGAAAGACCACAAACTGCACATCAAAAACCGCGTAGCGCACGAACCACCCTTCCGCAAACGCAAATGTAATACTAGGTAAAAAAGCAACCAGTCTTCAGTAGAGGCCATAGCGTTTTTGCAGTATAATTTATTAGTAAAAAACTCGTTCTATCAAAATTCATCTAATCAAAAAACGATTACATGATGGGTCAATCACGGCCCACAGCAAAGCATAAGAAGACGGTTTAGCCACAAAATTATGAAAGCAATAGAAAACACAACGTACAAGCATCTCGTTGGCGGTTTTAAGCTTTTAAATTTCCCATAAATCGAAAAGACATGGAGACTACTGTGTTGTTTATGGTAGTTTGGCTAGGCACAGTATTTGGCTTTTTTCGCATTTAAAGGTAATTCCTCACCCTTTGTAACCTTAATTTGTCATATGCAACAAAACGTTTGATTCTATTGGAGACAGGACTGTTGGCGTGGTTAAATACGTTTTGCAGACCGCAGGCAGAATGACAGGCCACAGTCTGATAAAGTAAATTCTTAACGAATGAAGGCAAAATTTCGAATTCCAGGTGTATGCATAAGTGAAAAAGAAGAGTCGAGCACCGGAACACTTTGTTTATTATCCTGAGCTTTCAGACTCGTACAGGAGTCCATCGTCAAAGGTATTGGCAGAAACAGGACAAGCGACAGTTATAAGGCACGTAGGCCCAATCATCGAGCGACGTCGCACGACTGGAGGTGACTACGCAGGGCTCTGTACGCCGGCCCTGATCGGCTGGGTAAACTGCTTAGAGAATACCAACATGAAAATGTGATCACGGAGAATGAACGGCACCAAACCAGGGCAACTGACACCGCTCTAGCTCGATTCTATGGTCTGCCAAAAATCCATAAAGCAAATGTCCCACTTCGGCCAATCGTTGCCCTAAAAGGCAGCCCCACCTACAAGTTGGCGAAATGGATGTACTCAAAAATGAAGTTCCTCCAAGGCAATTCGACTACCTCAGTTCGATCAGCCTCTCAATTCTTCATAGACCTCCGAGGTCAGAGAATTCAATCGGACGAAATCATGGTCTTCTTTGATGTGACGTCGTCATTTACATCCATCCCACCAAACGTGGCCCGCGAAGTCTTGCGCAAGAGACTTGAAGAGGCGTACGATGAGACTCAGAATGCCCTCAAAATTGAACACCTCATGAGGCTGTCTGAATTCTGTCAGCAGACCTTTACTTTTGCGGGAGAGGCCTATGAACAAATCAAGGGAACCCGAATGCGCTCACCGATCCCCGGTTTCGTGGCAGAACTGGTTCTACAGGAGTTAGAAAAGATTGCCTTCCTCCAACATGAACAAGTGTTTTGGCGCCGTAACGTTGAGGACACGTTCGTCATCGTAAAGAAGGACATGCTGTATCATTTCCACAACCTGCTCAACTCAGTCTTCCCTGATATAACATTCACGAGGGAAGAAGAACAGGAACAGCAGTTGCCCTTCCTGGATGTGCTCGTCAGACGAAAACTTAACGGTGAACTTGGAACGACAGTTTATAGGAAGGCAACGAACACCACACAGCTTCTCAGTTTTCACAGCAACCATCCGTTGGCTCACATACGAAGCTGGGCGAAGACGCTCTTCAAACGGATCCAAAATCATTGAAACAAGCCGGAGGACAGAGCACGTGAGGCCCGTTATCTCCGCGACCAATTCGTGCAAAACGGCTATCTGTCGCCACCTGAAAACTCGTTCATCAACAACACCGACGGTATGGCATTCTCTGCCATACATCTAGGGTGTCTCAGAAGCGACCGAGCGCATTGCTGCGGAGCTAGGTGTTGAAATCGCACACCGCCCCAAAGCCACCATGCGCAACAGGGTCATGAAAAACAAAGACCGGTTAAAGCTTGAAGAGCAATCTGGAGTAGTGTATCGCATTCCGTGTCAAAATTGTCCTTGCAACTACACAGGACAGACTGGACGCATGCTCCGATCGCACATACACGAGCACAAGTTGGCTGTGCGGCGAGGCGACGCATTATCACAAGTGGCCGCCCACACCTACGAAATGGGTCACGAGTTTAACTTCGCAGCCACCAAAATAGTCGTCCACGTCGAAAACAAAACAGGCCGAGAATTAATTGAAGCCTGGGCCTCGGTTGAAAACTCGGCCAATCGATTTTTCGATCTGGCGCTGGCGTACAGAGACCTGCGTAGTCACATCCAGTCGTACGACGTCGGTCGATATTTGGGCCTACGTGCCTCAAAACTGTCGCTTGTCCTGTTTCTACCACTATCTCTGACGATGGACGCCTGCAAGATTCAGAGAGCTCAGGACAATAAACAAATTGTTCGGGTGGTCGACTCTTCTTCTTCACTTAAACTTAATTATAGCCGTAGTCTAACCTAGAATCATCCCTTCGTAGAGCGCTTAACAGATGCGTTACCCAGCAACATTACAATATCCATGTGAATTCAATGAATTCCGCCGCAGATTAAATCATCCTCTACGATGCCTATGACCACTTCCCCACTGATTCTATCTGCTGCTAAACGCCAAGTCGGTCGCAACCAGAATTTAATGGTCACCAAACCATGGGGCACCAGTTCTTGAAATTTGCTGTAGACACAGTGTGTTCACGGGGAATGTTCTTCCCATACATGACAACCTTGACCGAGTTAAAATGAGTAAATAATCCTCCATAATGAAAGTCTTTAATCAGTATATTCGTGAGCTAATAAACATTCGTTAGCGCGTCTCCTACTTTCAAAATGCGTTTTCATGGCCCTTTGTAAATGCAGGCTGAATAACTGCCATCTTCAAGTAATTATGCGCAGAGAAAAGCTCTGGTGTATAGTGGTGCGATTTATTGTACGATGAAACAAATCCTCATCTCGCCTACTTGTAGAACGTTTTGGTTAATCTTGTTCTGCTATTACTAATTCGCCAGAGGTTGGCCTAGATGATACTAAAAATACTAGCTAAGCGCTTATGCTGAAGTCCTTTGGCTGCCAATTTTTGTATGTGCACACGGTCTGACAGGAAGTGCTTGGCCATCTTCATCGCATAAGCTTACACAGAAAAGTGAGAGCATCTCGCGTGTTTACGCTAATTAATTCTCGAAGGGGTAAAATACTTTCGAACAACTTTATTACTGATCAGACGAAGGAGCGATCGCTGGAACAAGGGCGTTATTTGCCTGACGTTTCGGATTCTCACTTGAGCCCATCATCAGACACAGTGGCAGAAAAGGGTGACTTGTGCACAGGAAATTGCAGTATTTATGGGATGCAGTCGCTATGCTACCGCATACCTATAGAAATTAACTGCGCTCCCCTCCATCAAGGATTGTTGCCCGCTGGTGCGCTAATTGCTTGATGGCCGGCATGCAAGTTGTTAATTGCCAAAAATGCCACTACCCGTGTTGAATGCTGACGTGATGATTGCTCGGACATCTGGCTCACCGGCTTGAGTGCTCCTGGAGTGGTCAATTACTTTGGCCAGAATATGTCTCAGCACGGAATATGGAGTAGGGATGTCGTTGCACATGCTGATAGACTGAGGTCCCGTGAACCATGTCTCCAGCAACTCGCGACTCACGCGATTATCATCTCTCGCGAGAATTCCGGCCCCATCGAACTTCAATGTGTGGCCTGGTCTCGTCGAATGGTCCGCTTCATGAGAGTTGGCGTCATTTCTCTGTACTGCTGCCGCGTGTTCGTCAATTCGCGTTTTAAGCAGTCTTCCAGCTTTTCCGACGTAGTTGCTTTATCCGCAACTGCACTAGATCCGGTAAACGGCTCCAGCTGTTTCATGCCGTGGCAGGAGGTCTTTTGGTCTCATCACCTGACGCCTCATAGTGGCCTCCGGTTTGTGTGCAACTCCAACGCTAAGTAGTGCATGAAGGCGGCTTACGGCCTCGGAGACGTTCCTGATATACGGGATCGCTCTCCAGAATTTGGGGTCGACACGGTTTTGTCGCTCGTCTCGTTTGCGCATACACCGGTTGAAGAAGTTGCGCGGGTAACCATTTTCTCTGGAAACCCGTCGAAGATATAGGAATTCGACAACCTTGTCTTCCGTTTCACTGCAGTGCATCTCAACACGCGGATATAGCGTTCTTACACAACTGGCTTTGTGGCTGATTGGGTGGTTACTGTTGAAATTCAGTATTTGCGTCGTGTTCGTCGCTTTTCTGAGCGCTCTTGTCTTTAGGCAACCACAATCCTTGCGACAGACAAGGACATCAAGGAATGCCAGCTTATTATTTTTTTCCTCCTCCATCGTAAATTTTATGTCCGGGAAGAGGCTGTTGAGACGTTCATTGAACGTTAACACCTGATCCTGTTCGATGACGACATGCCGAGCCCAGAATTGCGGTTTGTGGTGTTGGAAGATCAGCGACTCCAACCGCTGTAGGACCGCCTCGGCTATCAATCCTGAAATCGGCGAGCCCATTGGTGCATTCACTTGCTCGTAGATTGTTCCGTCAAACGTGAATTAAGTCCTGAGACAAACCTTTAGGAACTAAAAGACTTGGGCATGTCCGAGACGATTCTGTGTTTCATTGTATTTGCTTCGTAGAAGTAACTTGACGGTCTCGATTGCCAGATCCTGGGGGATAGAAGTAAAGAGGGACGTGACATCAAAAGATGCCATGACCTCATTTGGCAATAGACTTACTCCTTTAAGCTTCTCCAGGAATTGTGTTGACGAACAGACGGTGGTGTCCGAATCAGCGGTCAGAAATGTGAAGCGCCGAAACAGTCATTTTGCCAGTCCGTACGTCGGAATGCTTTTGAGAGATGCAATGGGCCACCACGAGGCGTCAGGTGATGAGACCAAAAGACCCACTGCCACGACAAGGAACAGCTGGAGTCCTTTACCGGATTTGGCGCAGTTGCTGACAACAAAACTACGTCGGAGGGACTGGAAGACTGCTCCGTTGGATTCAAGTGAGAATCGTAAACGTCAGGCAAATAAAGCCCTTGTTCCAGCCATCGCCCCTTTTTCTTCTTCTTGTTCCAGGAACTCGCATCTTTGCTTGTATCTTGAAGTTTATTACGGCAGTTTTGTAAAGTCAAATTCTTGCCGTGTATCTTAAAACCAACATGACTTTGGATACCTAAATTTACCTGTTTTTCAGGGATGCAAAATCCAATTTTTCGACTTTTTAAGAAAATTGATTGAAAATCTGCTTGTTGGCAGTAGTGTTCCTTTAAGAGACAACAGGTAAAATCAGAGCGACTTGCATAAAATGCTAAATAACGTAAGGAATCAGTTAGATATCAGGGGGCGCCTGATTGTGCCTGGTCTTAGTCTGCGTTCCTTTTAGAAATAAATTTTTAATGAATTCCGTGTTGGTGTAAGACTTTTGCCCCAAATGAATTAATTAAATAAAATCCTCACAAACCAATATATGCCGTATTAGTCCCGTAAATGCCGATTACGACATTTTCGGCTGTTAATTCATTCACTGCACGTCTTATTTATTATGTAAATAGTAGCTAGTCGTTAGGTTAATTGAACACGAAGACGTTTCAGCCGTTATATTTATTGTGGTTTAAGTAATTTTCCAAAAACTATGATCAACATTAAACACAATTTTGATGAAATTTTTGGTCTAATCGATTTAGAAAACTCTTGTTCCAGCTCTCGTAAGCATATTGACTTAAAAATTCTGGACTTGTTGCCAAACACTACATGATTCAGAAAGCCTGACTTGGCAACTCATATTTTTAGTGTATCTTGACTGTAACATTTAATGTTTGTATCGGCCGGGGTTCTTGCTTCAGTTGTACATATAGCCTGTCTCTCTGTATACATATCAGGCCTCTGTTTGTTAATTTGTGTTGACGCAGTGGCTTTAAAACGCTTTATCCAGTAATTCATTTGAACAAAGTGACTTAATATCGCCTTATCATAGTGTTTTCTTCATTGCTTGTTGCAAAACCTTGTTGTGTTACTTAGCTGGACCAAATGATAACGGCTAACCTTTGCAAAATTACAGGATGCCATTTACAAAGCCTTCCACGCAAATTCTAGTGCAAAGGGAAAAGTGAGTATTATTGAATAAGCATAAAAAGACATGCTTTTTATTCACAGTAAACAACAAAAGTAATCAGCGTCGATTTCCCAAGCTGTACGGACGAACTTGACAGAAACTGCCTGCGGTCTTTTCTAGGCGTCCTCTTTTACCAATATTTGTAAGTAACACGTAAATGGGGATTAAAATTGCATAAAAAGTCTTGAAAATGCTAAATAACACTGTAATAGCACCTCACGGAGGGAATTCATATATAATGATGACCGTTTTACGTCCGAAAGTCCAAACATCGTCATTGACGATGTCCATCGTGAGCCCCACAGCAGGTTGGGTGCAGAAATATCGACGTGCGCGCGAACAAATTTGTATTTATTTTTTGCTTACTTGCCTTTCTGGGGCGCTGTAAAAAGAGAGAGAAATTTAAAACGAACCAAAGTAGGCATCAAGCGCAGTTGACGGGCGTGGTCTGCGACAGCGTCTTGGCGTGCAGCAGCAACCCGCGTTGGAATTTCATGATAGCGCAACCCAATAACGTTGACTGAGCCCTATTCTGCCCCGTGGTGGTCCGGCGCGAATTCCTCGTAGCCCATTGCATAAGGGAAATATTAAGCACAC